CACCTTCAAGTTAGGCAAATTATTATTTAAAAGGAAGAGGGCCTTTTCCCTCTTCCCCAAAAGCTATCTTATTCAAGTTTGATTTTTCTCTTCTGACAAACACAATGCATTAATCTCACTAGTAATGTTTTTGGACTCTGCTTGTGTGACCTGTCTTTATCTAAATGCCATATTTTGTTAAGATTGGTTTATTATTTGTTAGGGAATATCACTATTTACGTTAAAGCATCTTCTTTTCCTCTGAAAAGTTGATTTTTGAATGCTCTCTGGGATTGACTAAGAACCAAAGCATAGAGTCCCAAGTCAGATCTTTGTTCCCTTGTAGCTGGTACATGTTAGAATGTTGGTGCGCTTCATATGCTTGCCTTTTTGGTTTGATCTTGGCCCTCTCCCTGTCCAAGTAGATCAGATAGAATACCTTATTTCTCGTGGAACTTCTCAGAGACAAACAACAGGGATATAACTTAAAAGATTAAACTTCTCTTCTCCTTTTGACCCTCTACCAATCTGTGTTATTCAAAATCCTGAAAAAATTGCTTTTATCCTAGACGCAAATCCAGATCTCCTTCCCCTAGAAGACGGTCTTCCCCTGTCAGGAGAGAGAGAAAGCGCAGTCATTCTCGATCTCCCCGTCACAGAACCAAGAGCCGGAGTCCTTCCCCTGCTCCAGAAAAGAAGGAAAAAACTCCAGAGCTCCCAGAACCTTCAGTGAAAGTAAAAGAACCTTCAGTACAAGAGGCCACATCTACAAGGCAAGTTCATTTATTTATAAACACAATTTTAGACGGTTGATAGTGTCTGCCGATATGATATCTCTGAGTTTAAAACAAATTACTAGATCAGTGTGGTGGCACATGCTTGTAATCTCAGCTACACAGGAGGCAAACACAGGAAGATCACAAATTTGAGGCCAGCCTGGACAATTCAGCTAGTGAGACCATGCTCAAAATAAAAACAAAGGCTGAGGATGTAGTGCAGTAGTAGAGCATTTTCCTGGTGTGCTTAAGTGTAGGTTCAATCCCCAGTACTGAAGAAATGTTTGCCTTTTAGATGTTGAAAATGATAAAATTGACTTGTTCAGACAAAACTGCATACATTATAAGGAAAACACGCAGAGGTGAATACTGTGTGTTGGTTGTATTGTTTCATTGTACATTGTTTTACAATGTTTTATATACTGTAATTTGACCTTTTTTTTTTTTTTTGAGAGAGAGAGAGAGGAGGGAGAGAGCAAGAGAGAGAATTTTAATATTTATTTTTTAGTTTTCGGCGGACACAACATCTTTGTATGTGGTTCTGAGGATCAAACCCGGGCCGCACGTATGCCAGGCGAGCGCGCTACTGCTTGAGCCACATCCCCAGCCCCTAATTGACCTTTTTTAAAGTTTTTTTTTTTTTTTTAAGTTGTAGCTGAACACAATACCTTTATTTTATTTTTATGTGGTGCTAATGATCGAACCCAGTGCCTTCCACATTCAAGGCAAGCACTCTACCACTGAGCTATAAACCTATCCCTTGACTTCTTAATATATTGTGAATACTTGTTAGGGTTTTTGGTTTATTTTTGTTGTTGCTGTTGTTGTTTTGGTTTTTAATTGTGGATAGAATTGTTAGTCATTGCCTATGATCCCAGCAACTTGGGAGGTTGAGGCAGAAGTATCAGGATCACAAGTCCATCCTCAATAATTTTGGCAAGATCCTGTCTCAGAATAAATGAAAATAGCTGGGGGTGGAGCTCAGTGGTAGAACAACCCTGGGTTCAGTCCCCAGTACCAAAAAAAGAAGAAGAAATTGTCACTTAGTGAGTTCTACTGATAAGTACATACCTTTTTGGAGCCAGAGAGAAGTCTTTGTTAATTTTAAAAACCTTGTTAAAAATATATATATTATTATGTCATACTGACTTAACAGCTTGTAGTAGAAGAGGAAAAAAAAATAAGCTTTTATTTCCACAGTGACATCTTGAAAGTTCCCAAGCCTGAACCTATACCAGAGCCTAAAGAACCTTCTCCTGAAAAAAATTCCAAAAAAGAAAAGGAAAAGGAAAAGACTCGCCCAAGATCTCGGTCACGTTCCAAATCAAGATCACGGACGCGTTCTCGGTCTCCTTCTCATACTCGCCCAAGACGGCGCCATAGATCCCGATCAAGGTGAGTTGAGGTCTTAAGATCAGGACAAATTTTTTAAAAATTATTGATGGACTCAATACCTTTATTTTATTTTTATATGGTGCTGAAAAGTCAAACCCAGTGCTTTACACATGCTAGGCAAGCGGTTTACCACTGAACTACAACCTCAGTCCTCAGGATAGATTATTAAGTTGTATATGCTATTTTCCTAAAGAATCATGTAAGTAATATTAAAGTWGTAGAAAATATTTGTACAGWTGTTGTTATTTGGATTTACACATGAACAATTTTCTGTATACCATAAAAATCTATGAATAAAAGATTGTAGCACTTGAAATTCATATTTTAAATCTGGCTTTTGGAAAAAACAGTCATGGAATTCTTTGCTCTAGATTTATTCAGTCTAATTCTGTCTGTTTCGACAGATCATATTCGCCTAGAAGGCGGCCAAGCCCAAGAAGGCGGCCATCTCCTCGAAGAAGAACTCCACCGAGACGAATGCCTCCTCCACCAAGGCATCGAAGGAGTAGATCTCCTGTTAGACGGTCAGTGGTGTTTTAATTTGAAAGTGTGAAACGTTTTGACACTTAGTATAATTTTTAAGAATAATTTCAGGATAATCTTCATTAGTGAAAGAAAGATCTCATAAATGATATTATAGATGTGTTGTAAAAAGCAGTAGTGCATTTGAAGTGTAAAGCTGTTTGAGTTGTGAAAAATGTCTATTTCAGTATTGAAAAAAAAAAAAAACAAGAAATCTACCCTCTTGCAGATACTTAAATGTTTACCCTTTAGGATTTTACTAAGAAATTCTATCCAAGAAAGAGAATTAGTCACCTTCCATTTGACTTAACTTATGAAAAGTAGTTGAGTACAGGGCCACTAAGCTACCTTTTACCAGTTTAAAAATAATCCATTCACTATTATGCTTTAATTTTTTAAAGTGATTTTATTTCTCATACAGATGATGGGATAAATTGTATACAGTTCAAACAAAAATTGACTGTTCCCATAATCCTATTTCATTGATATTGGGGATTTGCTATTTGGCTAGTCATAAAATCTAACCCTGCCAATACCAGTTTCTTTGCCCTGAATAATTCTGAAATAAGCATAAGGTAAAATTTTAGATTTAAAATGTATTACTAAAATGAGATTGTGAGTAGATATGTCCAAAGTACAGGCCTAGAACACTTTTAGCAGAGTTTTGCTGCCTTAATAAAACATCTTGCCTGTTTTTGAAAGGAACCATGATGATGACCAAACTTCAGGTTGTACATTGGACAGGTTAGGGTATTTTGTTTTTGTTTGGTTGGTGCTAGGGATTGAAACCACTGCCTTGAGCGTGCTAAGTACATGCTCTATTACTGATTGTGCTTACTAAGCCATTTACAGTCAACCTTGCATATCTGAGTAAGGTTTCTTTCAGGGAACCAAATCAACTTGTAAATAAAGAATAACATCAAATAAAACTCCATGAAGTTTATTTCTTCATTCAGGTTTTTTGTAGATACACACAGAAACATATATATGATAAGTTCTTGAGGTGTATTGAACAATTATTCTATTAAAAATAACAGAATTGATGTTACTACTTAAAGGTGAGACCAGTGGTGTAAATAAATGGTCAGCCATTTCAGGCATTGCACTTTTCTAAAATTGATCATTTCTCTTTAGCAAATAAGGAATGCTGGTGCTTTCTAGTAGAACAGTAGTGGAAACAGCTATTTCTTATAATTGGAGTTTTGCAAATAGCATGTTTTGATTGTGCTTACTAAGCCATTTACAGTCAATATTTTGCAGATTGTGTAAAATTCCCTTTCAGCCAGTTTTTATCTTACACTTAAGGTAGGGTTTCTTTTTTTCAGGTTCTCAGGAATTCTTCTGCCAAAGGTGAATTCTGCAGGTACACATAATTGCACAGAACTTACCACAGATTTTGCCGCAGAATTCGAGAGGCCCTGCTTCTAAGTTTATGTAGCTAAATGAATTCCTAATCTTGCACCTTTTTTTTTTTAATGCAACTTAAAGGTTGCCTGACTTTGTATTATTAAATGAAAAACACTTTGTCATCCAATTTTGTATGCAAACTCCAAAACACCAGTATCTTTCCAAAGGAAGAAAGAGGCTGGTTTGTTATTGTGTGATAGCATTGAACTTGACAAGTTTTATAATTGGAGGGACAACTTCATCAGAAGCATTTATCATTATGTTATTTCTGTTTAATCTCAGAACTAGCTGTTTCCTGTTGTAGGTTATGATTTTGTTTCTCGTTATTTTTGACTGATTTATGTACTTAGCTACATAAACTCAAAAGTTGGATAAAAGTAGCTGTATTTTTATGTAAACCATACATGCCTATAAAGGTCATTTTTTATAAATGTGTAGTTTCTGAATATAAATACTTTATTCCACAGAAGAAGGCGTTCATCAGCATCCTTGTCTGGGAGTAGCTCATCATCCTCTTCATCTCGTTCCCGGTCACCGCCAAAGAAGCCTCCCAAGAGGACATCTAGCCCCCCTCGAAAAACTCGTAGGTTATCTCCTTCAGCAAGTCCTCCTCGGAGAAGACACAGGCCATCACCTCCAGCAACTCCTCCACCAAAAACTCATCATTCCCCAACACCCCAGCAGTCAAATCGTACAAGAAAAAGTCGTGTTTCTGTGTCTCCAGGGAGAACTTCAGGTAAAGGTAAAAATCAAACACACAAAAACATCATGTTCTCTCTTTGGCTACTCAGAGCATACTATCTGTGGTTGTCCCCTGTTCACTCTCGAAGTGTGAAGAAGTTTTTTGTTCTTACCTTTTCATGCTTTAAGTTCTTGGGTTGAAATAGAGACTTCATGTAAAAGTGGTTTGTTTTCTAGAATGCCCTCTGGCATTGAACAGTTTTGAGAAATACATCACTAGCTGTGGACTGTTGGAAATGGGACAGCTAATTGAAGTATTGTCACTGATCAGGGTTCATTTTATTACTCGATGAGACTAGTTACATTTTTCCCTAGAGATTGTTCATTTGATATCTTATTTGAGGACTTTGTATTCTTCCTTAATTCTTTATTGGCCACATTGTGCTCTCAAAGGAAGGACATGGTGTCCTGTTAAAACCTGACTTGTTTTTTTAAATTTAGGTTTGAGGCAGGGTTCTTCTGAGTATTGTCCTTGCTTTGTTCTGCAGATTGATTTCTATGAGGAATTTATGATCTGTGATCCTGCCAGGCAAGTAGAATGCTGTGTTAGTCTGTTTAGTTAGTTAGTTTGTTTGTTTTTTTTTTTTTTTTTTTTTTTTGCACTAAATACAAAAATATAAGATCCATCTGAATTGTGCTTAGGGCTAGAATGATACAGTCAGCTTGAAAGGTGAGTAGTAGGGGAGAGGGGAATATTGTAAAAACTACTATAGTGATTAGATATTTTTTCTTTTTATTCTTTTTAGTTATACATGAGAGTAGAATGTATTTTGACATGTTACACATACATGGAATATAACCTCCCATTCTTGTTGAACATGATGTGGAGTTGTATGTTTACATATGAACATAGAATATCTGTTTCATCCCACATATCAGAGAATATTCAGCTTTTGGGTTTTGGGGATTGGCTTATTTCATTCAGTGTGATAGCCTCCAGTTCCATCCATTTACTGACAAATGCCATAATTTTATTCTTCTTTACAGCTGAGTAATATTCCATCGTGTATATACCACATTTTCAGGTATTGAAGGGCACATAGTTTGGTTCCATAGCTTAGCTGTTGTGAATTAAACATCAATGAGATATTAAGGAATAATTTTCTAGGTTACCATATACTAAGATTCTGATCACTCTGAAAATCTTCAGTATATGTTAGTGAACTTCGTGAGTACAGGGTTTCTAGGAGGCTACTATGCTGGCATATCTTGACATCACATCACCTCCCTACACTGTGTAGTATGGTGATATCTAGRGAGGCCAATTTTGCTTTGCTTTTTCTTGACTTCTGTGACAACACGGGCATAGACTTAGCTATCCATGGAAGGAACACCAGCAAATAATGGCAACCCACAAAAAGTAATGTGTAGATTATTTTCAAATTGTAAATCAAATTACTTTGGTTACACATCATTAAATATGATACAGTTGTTAAGTATGGGAGGGGGCATAAATATACACCCTATTACTTTTTGTTCAAAATTGGGAAAATGTCGGTTCGTTCGTAAACTCTGATTATCATGTCCAAATCTGATGCTATTGCCCTGGTCTATTTGTCTTTTCCTGTGAAGTTTTCTTTCCTTTGTCTGGAGCCAGAATGCTCTCTAGGGAAAGAATATAAATGGTCCCCACTGTTGCTTTGCAAAAGCACAACAAGTTAACAGTTTTTCCATTTACATTCATATAGCCAAAGAGTTACTGAAAGGACTAAACAGAAGGACTAAATCCTGGTTAAAATAGAATGACTAAGAATTATCAGTTACCTTTTTAAAGGAGTGCACAGGTGCTGTCCTCCTGTGTTTTGGCATATGCTTTTTGCAAACAAGACACATGAATACATGCCTGAGAGAGAAGTCTTAGTGGAGGACAAGGAACTGGTTGTATTACTTTAGGTTCTGGAATAGTGCTTCCCAGTCCAAATAGAATGCAGGCAAACCAGACACTGTGGACAGTGTTGTCAGAGGTTTCCTTATTATGTCTACTGAAGATGAGTATTGTGTTGAGCTGCTTGGAAATAACCTTTTATTTTGAATTAACATGGTTTCCATCCTCTGATGAAATTTGAGAGTTAGAAAAGACCTTAGCAGTGGTCATCTAAACAGGTTCTCACTCTCACGTTAAGTAACATGGTCAAGGTCAACCAACCAGGAATAGATTTAATAAATACTTTGCCCAGCTTTCCTACACCCAAATGCTGCTTTGATTACTGAAGGAGGGAGATGGAGGGCAAGATGAATTTATTCAGTTTCTGTATCATTCCTTCATTTCAGTCTCTGTGTGGATAATTAGAGCAGGTACACGTTGAAATATAATGAAGTTCACGGTTGTATTTCATGCAGCAGCCATTAATCAGGGCCCTGGGTCTCTGCTGTTGATAGTGGGGGCCTGTGAAGTAGGAGGGAGGGAGGAAAATTTTTTTTGAGAAAATTGGGGGTAAATTATTTGGAGTAAAATATACAGTCTCATCTGAAAGGGGTCATAGAGAAACATTTTATAATCAGTGGCATGTCACAGGTAAATTGGCATTGTCTTAACACATAAAATAATGCTTTATTCAATGAGGTAATCTTGAACAGGGACTGTATATAGCTGTGGAGATGGTAATTTGAGTTTATTTAAATCACCTTAGCCATATAAGTTATGCTCAATGTACACTTAATGGTTATTTTACTATTTCTGGCTACAGAGTGACTTTACAAGTGATCTTTTGGGTAATTCTAAGAGATTAACAATTAATAGAACTGGTAAAGTAAATTTAAAATTCTGGTTTTAGAGTTGCCTCTTAGATTTCTATGTTCATGATAGAATGATTTTGCCCCTTGGATACTTACGGTGAAACATCAGTAAGATAGCCAAGTGGGTGGTATAAAAATCTAGAAAAGTAAACCTGGAATGTTATCATTTATAATATTAATGATGTGTGGCTCAGTCCTACCAAAGTAGGTGTACATAATGGATTCTTGTCTGGTGGTATAAATATTAATAATTTAAGATGGTTTTAGTTAGCCAGGTCATTAATGAGAGGATGAATTGGATTCCAAATGTGTTATTTCCATTGTGGGGGTGGGGGGAATGTTTAGTTTTATTATTTAGTAAGCAGGCATTTCCCAACTATCTTGCAAACATAACCACATTTTTAATGTTTCTTGAAGGAAAATACATTCTTCCATCCAACCAACCAGTTTCAAAAATAAGTTTTGAAACCAAGTTTTCCAGGGTGGTTACTTGGGCATGTGGCTTTATGGATAACTAGATTCCTTTCATAATTGGTTCAGGAATTGAGGATTAACTGATATTTAAAAGTAGAGTCTGTGRACTGGAACACAGCCTCAAAATAGTTAAAATATTTCCTTGAATTTGTTAAAGTACAAGTTTTGATATACTTTTTCCATCCTTATTTCTTCCCTTAATATATGATGACTAAAATTAGAAGCTAATCATTCTTTTCCCAGTTCTGTAGTCAGTCCATATGCCTTGTATAATCATTAATAAAACTCTGGTCATTGAGAGAGGTAATTTCTTGTTTAACTACTTTAAAAAGATCAGATTACTGTTAGATCACTAGTTCTCTAAGTACTGCCCTTTGGAGTAAGCCATTACAGAATTCTGAATATGTGTCTGAGATGTCACTGCATTCTGGGTCAAACATCCCATGGTGATTGCATTCATCATGCAAAACAGGTTAAGAATCCTGAGGGGATCATGTTGTCTATAGGTTTATTTCTTGAGAGGGGTTTTATCAAGTCAAGTTAATCTGTGGTAATTTAATGATTATGTCTATATATACTACTGATTCTGGTTGTAGCATGGATGGATATTTTTAAGCAGAGATACGAGTTGGGAATCAAAACTGATGTCCTGAAAAGAGAATCTTGGGTTCATATTCTAGCTCGAGTACATTGTCTCTGTCACTGGTGAAGTTTCCTTGAGCCTCAGGTTTCCCTTATAAAATGGAGCAGAGAGGAATAGAGAGGATATGATCCTAGCAACAGTGCTTAACAGTACGTATAATGCAGCAAGTTTAGAAAAKGTGGTTGTCATAATTTTCCACAATGTTCATAATAATGGCTAATTAATGGATCTCCTACTGTTTCAGATATAGAACTGGTTTTGTGTTTTCTCCTTTTATTTCTTAATTCTTTGGGAAGAATCTTTCAGTCTTGGTGTTTGGTAATTTTTGTTATTGTGAAGATTTCATGCTACATAAAAAGCCTTCAGCCTCTTGGGTGTGGCCGTTTATTTCTCATTTCTAGATCCAAGTGCCTTCCAGAAGAAATTTAACCAGTCTCATTTCTTAATCATTTATCATCTTTATTGCTTTTTTTTGAATCCAACTATACTAGTTTTTTWAAAACTTTTATATTAATGAAGTCTCCAAAGTTGAATGTGAGTGTTAGTTGTGAGGCTCAAGTAACACATAGAAGTTTACTTTCCTGAGTTGAAAATTATACATAGCATAAAGCTAGTTCTAGGGGCTGGGGATGTGGCTCAAGCGGTAGCGYGCTCGCCTGGTATGCATGCGACCCGGGTTCGATCCTCAGCACCACATACCAACAAAGATGTTGTGTCTGCCGAGAACTGAAAAATAAATATTAAAAATTCTCTCTCAAAAAAAAAATTATAAAAAAAAAATAAAGCTAGTTCTACTTATAACAGCTCCCAGTTGTATGGGGGTTTTGTTTGTTTGTTTGTTTTATTTTTGTTATGGGTTTCTCTTGAGAATCTCACAGTTTGGAAGAAATTATTGTAGGAATTTGAGGCTTTTTTTTTTTTTTTTAGATTTTATTTTATTTTTTTAAAGAGAGAGGGAGAGAGGAGAGAGAGAGAGAGAGAATTTTTAATATTTATTTTCTAGTTCTCGGCGGACACATCTTTGTTGGTATGTGGTGCTGAGGATCGAACCTGGGCCGCACGCATGCGAGGCGAGCGCGCTACTGCTTGAGCCACATCCCCAGCCCGAATTTGAGGCTTTTCATTAAACATTTAAAAATTCCTACTACTACCTCAGATAATGACTACAAGGTCTTACAGAAATTTTTTAAGTTCTTAGTAAATTCTTTTTTTTTTAAATTCATACCTATATATCTTATGTCATCTTTTGAAAGCTTTTTTCCCCCACTTATTTTTTATAGTGACAAAACATAAAGGTACTGAGAAGAGAGAGTCACCTTCACCAGCACCAAAGCCTAGAAAAGTAGAGTTATCTGAATCAGGTAAGTTTTGTTGGTGGTTTTTTTCCCCCCCTCTGGTTGTATACAAAGTACATTCACACCAATTCATGTCTTCATACGTGTACCTTGGATAATAATGTCCATCACATTCCACTATCATTTCTAACCCCATGCCTCCTCCCACCCCTCTGCCCTATCTAGAGTTTCCTCTATTCCTCCCATGCTCCCCCTCCCTACCTCACTATGAATGAGCCTCCTTATATCAGAGAAAATATTCGGCATTTGGTTTTTTGGGATTGGCTAACTTCATTTAGCATTATCTTCTCTGGCTAACTTCACTTAGCATTATCTTCTCTAACTCCATCCATTTACCTGCAAATGCCATGAGTTTATTCTCTTTTATTGCTAAGTAGTATTCCACTGTGTATATATGCCACATTTTTTTGTTAGTGGTTTTTTAAAAGATAATTTGCCCCCTTTTTTTCAAATTTGGTTCTTCCCTCTGGTTGAAGGGAATGATTAATGATATAGCGTATGGCTAACAGTTAACCAAAATAGCATTTATAAAATGGTTAGCACCCAGCCTGACCTGTAATAAATGCTTAACTAAATTTATCTTTATTTCATATGGTACTTACATTGCTTGACACCTAGTCAGTTAAAAGTTGGAGAATCTATTTTCCTATTCAGATATGTCAGACTATTTGTATGCATAACTAAAGAAGCACTTTCTAAATGCATCCATCTTTCAGAAGAAGATAAAGGTGGCAAAATGGCTGCAGCAGATTCTGTGCAGCAGAGACGCCAATACAGACGACAGAACCAGCAGTCTTCTTCTGGTATGGCCATTGACTTAAATTTTTTTTTTATCTGCGCCCCTCCCCACTTTTAAGTAAAAAAAGACTATAAACAATCATGGCTGGGTGTGGTGGCACACACCTATAATCCCAGTATCTCAGGAGGCTGAAGCAGGAGGATCTCAAGTTCAAAAGCCAGCTTCAGCAAAAGCAAGGTGCTAAGCAACTCAGTGTCTAAATAAAATACAAAATAGGGCTGGGGATGTGGCTCAGTGGTCAAGTGCCTGAGTTCAATCCCTGATCATCCCCCCTCTTAACACCCCCCACCCCCCAAAAAAAGAAATAATCATTAGTGTGTACTGATTATACACAAGAATTTGAAYCACATCGAAATATTTGGGAGCAGGGTTGTCTGTCTCGTTCTCCCTCAGGTGTACATTCTTTTTAAGTTGTTATGTAAGTAACTTAATTTAAGTAACTCCCAGTAACTTAGGAGGCTGAGGCATGATGATCACAAGTTCAAAGCCATCCTCAGCAATTTATGAAGAACCTGTCTCAAAATAATAAGGGCTGGGGATGTAGCTCAATGGTAAAGTTCCTCTGGGTTCCATTTCCAGTACCAAAACAAAAAAAGTAATAGATCTGGCTAAGAGTATAGCTAAGTAGAGCACATGATTTCTGTGTGCAAGGGCCGAGGTTCAATCTCTAGCACTAAATCAAAAAGTTAAAAGCAATAGATCCTTTTTAGAGTACAGTAGCATATTAGATACCAGGCACTACAGTGTATATCTGTAATCCCAGCTACTCAGGAGGCTGAGGCTGAAAGATTGAGAGTTTAAGCCTAGCTTGGACAACATAGCAGAACCTTCTCTGAAAACGTAAAAAATAATAAGATAGAAAACAGGTATAAAACTGAAGTAGTATAGTTTTTTTCCTGATTTCCTAAATCTTCACACCAAAACTTGTATTCAGAATGTTTTTATGCATGTGTAGGCATCTTTGGCTCAAAAGGTGGCCTGGTGTATATGTAAGTCATTTTTCCATGCTAGTCTTTATAAGTCAGCTTCATTCTTTTGCTAGCTGTAGTATTTTCTTTGTTTTTGTTTTTTGTTTGTGTGTGTATGTGATACTGACAATTAAGCTCAGGGTGTTATAATTGTTGAGAAAACACTCTACTACTGAGCCACATCTCCAGTCCTTTTAAGACAAGGGTCTCCCGAAATTGCCAAGACAACACCTCTAGTTACAATCCTCCTGTCTTGGCCTCCTGAGAAGTTGGGATTACAGACATATATCACCATACCCAGTGAGCTTCAGTGTTTTTTATAATATAAGTATGTACCATAAGCTATTGAGCAGTCTGCTTATTTATTGAACGTTAAGAGTTTTTTTTTTTCATAGTTTTCTTTTGTGTCTGTGTTGTACTTAAGTAGATATATCTATAATTAGAATTGCTGGATTAAAAAATATGTATGGATGGGCTGGGGCTGGGGTTCAGCAATAGCACACTTGCCTGGCATGTGTGAGGCACTGGGTTTGATTCTTCGCGCCACATGTAAATAAATTTTTAAAAAGGGCTATTAACAACTAAAATATATGTATATATTAATTATATATATATATATATATGGAACTGGGCATGGTAGCACACACCTGTAATCCTAGTGGTTCAGGAGGCTGAGGCAGGAAGATTAAGAGTTCAAAACTACACTCAGCAACTGTGAGGCACTAAGCAACTCAATGAGACCCTGTCTCTAAATAAAATACCAAAAAAGAGGCTGGACATGTGGCTCAGTGGTTGAGTGCCCCTGAGTTAAATCTCTGATATTAAAAAAAAATATATGGGAAAAGGTTTTTTTTTATCCCAGATGCTTTATTATTATTAGCTTATTTAGTGTTTATGACTGAGTCTATGTACTATCTTTGCAGAGTTCATAGAACAGAAACCACACCATCCCACAGTTGACATTAAGTGCTTCAAGTAAAAGAACCAATTTATTGTCTGGGAAATCACAACTTTTTAAAATATTTTATTTATTTATTTATATGTGGTGCTGAGGACACAGCCCAGTGCCTCACATATGCTAGGCAAGCACTCTACTACTGAGCTACATCCCCAGCCCTGTTTTGTATTTTATTCAATGTCAGGGTCTCTGAGTTTTTTAACACTTCATCCTCTCAAGCCACTGGGATTATAGGCGTGCGTCACCATGCCTAGACAAGTTATGATTTCTTTTTTTTTTTTTTTTTTTTTTAAGTTGTAGATGGACACAATATCTTTAGTTATCTCTATTTTATTTGGTGCTGAGGATCGAACCCAGGGCCTTACTCATGCAAGGCAAGTGCTCTGCCACTAAGCCACAGGCCCAGCCCAAATCATGATTTCTTAAAAGACATATTTGTATTGTTTTGATTGGATTGCATTATGAAAATGACTTTCTGATTTATATAATACTTCATTGGGCTTGACTTTGAAGTATATGTTATCTAACACAGAATGTATCTATGCTTGCTTACCCTATATTCAGAAAACCTAGACAAGCTCGTTTAAGCACAGACCTAGTATAATTTTTTGTTTTATTTTGTACTGTGTAATTGTAGACTCTGGCTCCTCCTCCTCTTCAGAAGATGAGCAACCCAAGAGATCACATGTGAAGAATGGCGAGGTAGGCAGGCGGCGGAGACATTCCCCTTCTCGCAGTGCCTCTCCTTCACCACGGAAGCGCCAAAAAGAGACCTCTCCTCGGTAACAACTTTTCTTTAATGGTCTTCCCGTAGCTGTGGTGAAAGTTCATAATTTAAAGAATGGGCTATAGGATTATCTTAGAATTTGGTTCATTCCTTCATTTCAAGAACTTTGAGGAGGTGGTTGGATTTTGTTTGGGTTTTAGGTTTTTGGGTCCCCGCATCTTCATTAGTAATTACTAATATTTAATAAGAACTAGGTAAGTTTTGAGTCAGTGTATCATATATATGCATGACTAGATGAATAAGCCAGTTAAATCATAGCATTAATTCCTGAATATTTTAAAAAATATCTCCTTCAGTAGGGGTTAACTCCATCAAAGTAAATAATTTAGTGAATGGAATTCTTGACATTTTTTTTTTCTCCACTGCTCTCAGGATGCAGATGGGAAAGCGATGGCAATCGCCAGTGACTAAAAGGTTGGTTAGAAACTGCTTTGTAAATTAAGGGCACCTACCAAAAGTTTAGTGCCTTAAATTCCTATTTAGGACCATATCCTGTTCTTAGATATGTAGTGGACTGTAGAATTGTACCCGAAGTGTTCATTTTAGAGCTTCGTTTGAACTTCAATTTTGAATATCTTGTTACCATTTGGATCAACTTACATCAAGGCACGCACAGTTTGAGCAACATATAGGTATTTTCTAATAATTGGATAATACCTCCCTAGATTTAGTAGTGCAAGGGACTTTGTGGTGACTTAAAGCAAGAAAAACTTAGAAGTTAAAAGTTAACATAAGGCTTTGGCCCTATTCATTCTTTCCRTAAGTACAGATTTGGGTATCCTTGTGCAAAATGCTTGGGACCAGAGGCGTTTCTGATTTTGCAGTATTTGTGTGGACTTGCAAGTTGAGCATTTCTAATCCAAAAGTGTGAAATCCAAGACTTTTTGAGTACCAAGCAACTCAAAAAGTTTCAGATTTTGAASTTATTTGGATTTTCAGATAATGGATGCTCATCCTATGTTTATTCTTGTGCTCTTTATATCTCAGACTTTGAAGATGGGTTATTTTAGGTAATCTCATTAATAAGGAGTGTTGTATTATATGGGACAAAGCAGGGTTATTTACATTGTAGAGGAAACCATTTATTGATATAAAAGCCAAAAAAGATCATTAGATATTACAGTATTTTCCCATCTACAGTGATCTGTGGATTCTGTGAAATTGCTAGCTCAATAAAGTGTATTACAGAGTTAGGTTAGTAATAGGATTGCCCTATTTTGGAACTACTTTCTGTTCTGGAAAGACATGCCTCATAACAGGAAATTCAAAACTAATGTTATATTGCCTTGTTCTAGTTGTTGTTGGTTTTTTTTTTGTTGTTTTTTTTTTTTTGGTGTTTTTTTTTTTTTTTTTTTTTTTTTTTTTTTTATTTTTATGTGGTGCTGCTGAGGATCGAACCCAGTGCCCCACACATGCTAGGCAGGCACTCTGCCACTGAGCTACAGCCCCAGCCCCCTCCA